CATTCATCATAAAAACTCCCAGCAAAGTAGGAATAAATGAGAACTTTCCTCAACTTGATAAAGAGCATGTACAAAATCTTTTGACTAATATCATGATTAACAGTGAGAAATCCAAAGCTTTCCTGATAAGATCAGGAGGAGGTCAAGGGTATCCTCTCTCACCTGTCCTTTTCAACTTCATACTGGAAGTCCTAGCCAAGCAATAAGACAAACGGAAATAAAAGCATTTTTATTGAGAAGAAATAAATAAAACTGTCTTTGCAGATAATGTGATTTCTATGTAGAAAATCTGAAAGACTAAATAACAACAACAAAAAACAAACAAACATGGAATAAAATGATACTGGCAAGGTTGCAGGATATAATGTTAATGTGTGAAACCATGCACTGGCAATGAACCAGTGGAGTTTGAAATTAAAAGCACAGTGCCATTTACCCAGGCATCCCAAAATGAAATACTTAGGTGCATTCTAACAAAATATGTGCAAGGACTATAAAAGAGGAAAGGATCAAATAACTAAATAAGTAGAGAAGTGTTCTGTGTTTATGGACAGGAAGACTCAATATTGTCAAGATTACATTTATTCCAAGTTGATTTGTAGATTCAATGCAACCTCAATCAGACTTTCAGCCATTTATTTTGTGGATATTGGCAGGCTGATATTGAATTCACCTTTATGGTCTTTAAAAGTTCGTATAATATGTTTTTTTTTTCCTGAGTAATAAAGAAACACATATGGTTATTGAAGATGGAAAATATTACTTTCCCCCTCAGCTCACATTCTCTGATGCCTTAGTGCCTTGGACTAGTAGAAACTAAAAATTATTTACTACCCCTCTAAAACTGCTACAGCCCCCACCTTTCAGTCTCTCCTAAAGAAGAGTACTTAAGTCTCAACCACCTCTCCCTTTCTTTGAGTTTCATATTCTGTGTGGCTCTCATGCTGTGTGTCTAATTAATAAATCTAACATCTTTTTCTCCCATTAATCTGTCTATTCTCAGTTAATATCAGCAAACCTTCCGAGAGCAAAGGAGAAATTTCTTCCACCCCGATTCTTGCTTTTTCATCATAGTACAAATGTCAACACAGTTAAGAAGACAAATAATAAATAATATCTTGGTATATTATGAGAAAGGTTTTGACCTCACAGGCCTGGGCCCCACCCCAGGGGTCCAGAGAGCACACTTTGAGAGTCGCTGTCGTGGGTTTCAGGATGGGGCCAAAATGCTTAGTAAACAGGGGTGCTCCAGGCTGGGACATAGAGGGTTGTTCTGCTCTTGGATCAGCACATCCTCTCTGAGGAGCCTTTGGTTGCCATAGAGAACCTGTACTATTTCCAGAATTACTCAAGTACCCGCCATGCCCATCTTCATCCAGAGTTCACATGCCAGAGCTCTTGAGTTGAAAAGAGTAGGCGAGAGGTAGTGCAGCTGAGCCCTGAAGCCCTTAACCGCTTAGTCTCTCCTCCCTCCTCCTGTCTTTGCTGGTCTGTCAAGTGATCTCTGCCGCGTCCGGCCAAGGGAGCCGAGTCCGGCGAGGGACGGCGAGGTTAAAAGACACACAGGACACCAAGGTTCTTCATCCAGGAGTCAATACCCTTTATTGCTAACACACCTTTTTTTATACCCCAAGCAGCAGAAGTGGAAAACTACCCAAAAGCAGGAGGGAGGGGGGAGAAATTTAGTTTCAACATCTATTATTGTCAGGTACCGAAACCTCCCTTAACAATAAGTCCATCAGACCAGAAAAGGTCAAGGCATTCCCGTGGGATACATATGTCTCAGACGGACAAGCAGGAACAGAAAAACCGCAAGTTCACCATGGCCTTGTGAGCTGGCCACACTGGCATGCAGAACAAACTAGTGGAGGTAGGGCTCCAGGGGCCAGGGTGGACCTGCTGCCAACAATCTCAAATTGTGGAGAATCTGGAAGCAGGGCTCAGGAGTCCAGTGATGCTCTGTGGGCATGGATAGTTCTGTTTTGTTTCTGTTTTTTGGCACTAGGAATTAAACCCAGGAGCACTTAACCACTGAGCCACATCCCCAGCCCTTTTTACATTTTATTTAGAGAAATGGTCTCCATAAGTTACTTAGGGCCTTGCTAAGTTGCTGAGGCTGGTTTTGAACTTGTGATCCTCCTGCCTCAGCCTCCTGAGCCACTGGGATTACAGGTGTGCACCACTGCACCTGGCATGGATGAGTTTTTAATCAGCATAAAAGAAACCCTATTGTATGTAAGAGTCAGCATAGCACAGGTCAGGGGAGCCTTAGAACTCTGCTGTGGGTTTTCTGTGATGAAGGCAGAAGCCACATGAAGGCCAGAGGCTGAGTGAATGGGAGGTGTAGAGCAGGCGCAGGGGACGTGCTGGACGCTTCAGAGACTGGAGAGCACTTACGTCTAATACATGCATGCCGACATGCGTGAGGCTAGCCATGGTGTGAGCACGTCTTAATCTAGAATAAGAGAGTGGTAGAGAGGAGAAGAAGTGATAGAATGAGTGACAGTGCTTTGAAAAATATACACGTTGATAACATTAATAGCAGTGATGGTACCCAGCAGGGTCTTGCTGCCCATGCTCATGGAAGCCAATACTATGGCACTGGGCTTCACAAAAAGCAGGAGCTTGATCACACAGCCAAGCTGGGGGAAAGTGCAGATCAGGTTCAAATCCACCTCCCAGGTCAATAAGCAGTCAGGGAGAAGGGCGGTTTGGGGTTGTCCTGCACAGGCACAGAGTGTCCTCGTGCCCCTCGTGGTGCGGGTTTCTTTTTGAGAAGTTGCGTTCTGCTTGGGAAACTTTGAGCTTGTGACAATAGAGGTCACTGACAGGACAAGCTCCTCCGGGGCATGTCCACTCAAGGAAAGTCAGTTTCAAACTGTCCTTGAGTGGGTTCTGGAAGCTTTTCCTGGAAAGCAACTTAAGTGCTTTATTATGTAAGAAATTTATATCCAAGTGTGCCCAGGCCTTAACCCACCTCAGTAACAGCTACCAGCAGTCATCATGGGCTGTTTCACCAAATTCAGATACACTAAATGTATGTCATCTTGTATTATTTTTCACTTAGTCCTTATAACAACTCCGGAAAGTGTCGCTTTAATTTTACAGAAGGGGAACCCGAAGCTCAGAGAGGTTGATTCATTTGTCAAAGGTCATACAGCCCCAAAGTGAGTATGCTGGGATTGGAGCCCAAGTGTTTCTGACCTCCTATATTCTAGTCTTTTCCCTCATTCTGATATTTTTCTCTTAAAACCCCTGAGTTAATCCTGGTCCTTTAATACGTGTGAGTCATTTGTGCCCAATCCAGGATTCATTTCCTGGATAGGTGCTGAGATACCTACTTGGCATCTGAGGTCAGTACTTTATGAATAAATTGGGCGGTGTTTAGGCTTTGAAGTACCTAGGTGACTGAAGGCGAGTCTAAAACAGGATTACAAAGGCAGAACTTAATGTCTTAGAATCTCTAAACCTCGAAACCCACAGAGCACAAAAGAGAAAACGTCCCCAGCTGCAGGAGAGCTTCATGAGCCCGTGGTTGTGCTGGGCAACGCAAGAGTGACCACTGGGCGCCTGCTTCAGGTAAAAGGCAGAAAAGCCAAGAGGTGAAGAGGCGCCTCTTCCTTTATTAAGCCTGAAATACCGCCACAGATTAAGTCACTTCATATTTTAACACCCGCCGTATCCAACATCCCAATCTAATGTCTCTTTGGGTCAGCGAGTGTCCCCATGCCCACAGATGGCTCAGTTATCCACAAGCTCAGAACTAGAATGGTTCTTACTGCCACCGGCACAGCCGTGCAGATTGAGATGGGATAAGGGAGGCCAGGAGGGGAAGAGCTTGCCCAGGGACACAGTGCGGCTCTGCAGAGCTGAACACCAGGTCTGGGGGTGCCGGAGATAACCCAGGTTATGACCGGACTGCCTCCTTTCCAGGCTTTTTTTTTTTGGACTGGAGATTGAACCTAGGAGTGCTTTTACCACTGAGCTACATCCCCAGCACTATAGTTGTTGTTGTTGTTATTATTATTATTATTATTATTATTATTATTAAGAAGGGGTCTCACAAAGTTGCTGAGGCTGGCCTCAAACTTACCATCCTCCTCCCTCAGCCTCCTGAGTTGATGGGCTTACAGGTGTGGCCACCATGGTGGGTAGTAAGGCCCACTTTAACATTTAGTAACCAAGATACAAAGGCCAGAATATCGTAGGGGTGCTGTGAAGAGCATTGTGACAAAGCATCACAAATTCACTCCTCTTACTGCCATCACTACGACCCCTTCCTTGGTGCTCTTCTTCCATAGGACCTGCCCACCCTTTTATTAATATCTGATGAAAACCAAACATTTCCTGGACTGCCACAGGAGAAGCTTCTGGGACCTGTTTTGGACACTAGCCAAAACTTGGACTTCTGGGTGCAACGTTACTCATTTGCCTGCATCGATCAGCTAGACTTCAGAGAGGAAGTGGCTGTGTCTCTAAAATAGGAGGCTTTGTCCCTGGACAGGCAAGACCAGGAGACCTACATCTGCCACACAAGCCAGCCCGACTGTCAGGGCTGCACACTGATACAGGGTGGGAATCCTCTCCCTTGGAACAGGGTGACTGTTCAGAGGGACGGTGTGTACAGAAGGATCATCACAGCCCTGGGGTGGTACACACCTCACCAGGCAGGTGGCTGGCTGTCTCAGACATTTGCATAATGGGCTGATCAAACCTACCTCCAACCCTCTGCAGATGGTTGCAGGTGGTGGACTTCAGAGGCCATTGAGAGAAGTGAACCCCTAGACCTTTAAAACAGGGAGCAGAGACTGTGTAGCATATGTAGAGAGACAAAGCCACACTGATGGATTATAGGGATGAGAAACAGGTCCCCAGGAAGTGGTGGTTTTTCTTTTTTTCCTTCTTTCCTCTCCCCCTTTCTTTCTTTTTTTTTTTTTTTTCCCTTTGGTTAGAAAAAAGATGAAGGTGGGATTCCGAGTTAGGATGTAATGAATGAGACCATGGGTGTTGTTGGAGACTTGGCAGTTGAGGTAGGCTGTTGGGAGGTGCCAAGTGACAACTCCAAAAAGAAGCTGGTATTTGGGTTTGGAATGAAGAAACCACCCGTGTAACCCAGCTGAATGATCACGCTTGTAGCTCTGCATGTGCATGTGTGGGAGTGTTTTCTCTGGGACTGACTTCTTATTAGTTCTTCATAGCTGAGGATCCCCAGTTGGATGCTTAGTGACATATTATCCAAGCCCAGCATTCTTGTATCTGTGACTTTTATTGAGGTTACATCCCCCAAAGCAGGGAGCACAGTGAGTAGAAAACAGGAGATTCCAATAAGTCTTCAGAGAAGGCTTTAGCAGTGTATTAGTTTACTCGGGCTGCTGTAACAAAGTACCATGGACTGAGTAGCTGCAACAACGGAAGTGTACTGCATCACAGTTCCAGAGTCTAGAGGTCTAGAATCAAGGTGCTAGCTTGGATGGTTTCCTGTGGGATGTCTCTTCCAGTATTGTAGAGGTCTGCCTTCTTGCTAAGTCCTCACATGGCCTCTTCTGTGTGAATATTCTGAGGGGCGAGGGAGGAAAAGAGAGAGAGAGAGAGAGAGAGAGAGAGAGAGAGAGAGAGAGAGAGAGAGAGAGAGAGAATCCTCTGGCATCTCTTCTTCTTTAAGGACACAAGTCCCAGTGGATTAGAGGCCCATCCTTATGACTTCATTTAACTTTTTTTTTTTGAGGAAATCACTTATAGCATATTTATTTCATAAACTGATATAAGATTCAATGAAGACTTCAGCATTTTTAAGGCACATTTTATCAAAATTCCATTAAGTCACAATGTTAGATACAGTATTAAAATCTTATATAGCTAAAGGTTTTTTAACAATGAATTATAGGCACCCTAAGCAAGTATGTAGTTCCAATTATTCATTTACTTAACTTCATTCATTCATAATATCATAGTTGATAAATACCACACATCAGACTGTCTGTTTTTGAAAAAAATTGTTTGGTGAATTACTAACAATGCAGCATGCAATTTTTATTTATTATTGGTTCATCATACCCATATCTTACCCACATAGTAAGATTGTTATAATATTCAATAAGTTGTAGCTAAAAACATGAAATACCTCATACCATAATGTACAGATTATATAAATGCTCTTATTATTTCTTCATCCTTTTCACAAATATTTATCAGGAATTTACTATATGCTAATTAGAACTAAGATCATCCTAATTTTTCAGATATTTGAAAAAAATGCAAGACCTCATTTGAAAAGGGCAATATAGATTTCAGAAGTAACTACTGTTTATCTAGTGAATAATGTGTATAGAAATCTGCTAAGGTCTTGGGGTATGCAAATATATTTGGGATGCATCAGAGAGTGCATATGAAAAAACCATACTATTTATCATGTTACATAAATGAAGTGAAATATCATACCAAAAGGTTAAAAAAATTAACTTTTGGGAAAAAAAAGCAAAAGTGTGCACTAGTATTTGAAATAAGGTAATAATAATTTTTACTATAATTAGTTGTTTCTGGGTCTCATTTCACTCTTTACTTTAATTATCTATCCATTTTGTTAAGTACCCCTATAGGTGTTATTGGAAAATATTGGCATTCAGTGAATAATGCCACCATTTTTCTCTTCTGCAATATTAAAGAACTATTTCAGATTTATTGCAATGAATAGTTTTGCTTCAAAGTAACAGTAGTTTTTCAATGTAGAAATTACTAAGATAAATTTGGGTGTTCTCAAAGTCTATAACAACCATATTTGATGAAATTTGTGTCATAGTGTATAAGAAAAGTTGCTTCCCTACCCCAAACCAGACATCATTGAAATAACCTTGTGTAGTATCAGCACATCCAAGTTTAGATGAGGACTTTTGCATCTTTTCTCCTTTTACTTCCCAGCTACAACATGGCTTATTTTTTATAAGCAAATTTCTATACTTGTTAAACCTCTCACACATCTCAGAATTCACTAGGAGGGATCCATGAAAATCTAGAAACAAACATATGTGAGATAGTGTATAGATTAATATATGAAGATGTTCAAGAAAATATTTATCTGGTCAAGAGATGGTGCAGCAACTATATAGAAAGCTAAAAATTGAAATTGAAAGAAAGATAATACTCCCAAGAATTACTAAGAATCATGTAGTCTTTGGAAGCAGATATTTTAATAGGAAGTTCTTGAGACTGATGTCCACTGCATCTTTCTTATGAATATTTGCTCTGGTCTTGAGGGCCACCACATTTTAGTCAGTACACATTTGGCTTGATATGGCATATTCAGAAAGCCCACCATTTTCTTTATAAACCTAGGCATGGTTTACTATACATCCATTGAGTTTTTGCACAGACTTTTCCCTTCTTTTAATATACCTAGCCCATTAGTCTTGTCACATTCAAATTTATTCATTCTTCAAGAAGTAGTTTAATTGAATTCCCTATTGTCTTTAAAATAAATTCTCCACCTAAAATAATTTCTATATTCTAAAGCATTTTATTGTAGTATCTAGAATCTTTACAAGTACTAAGAAATGACATTCTATGTCTCATTTTTACCATTGTCTTTCTCATATTACTTTCATTATGAATTGAGTATGTCCCTCAAATACTCATGTGTTGGGAACTTAGTTTCCAAAGGGAGAGAGTTGGAAAATAGTAGAATGTGTAAGAAATGAGATCTAGTAGATTGTGGTTAGATCATTGGGGGAGATGCCCTTGGAAACAGTTAATGAAATTTTCATGGGACACAAGATAGTTCCTATTAAAGCAGATTGTTACAAAAAGAGCAAATCTTCTTACTGGATTTCTCTGACTTCCTGTCTCCTTATATTTTCTCTACCTCTCAAATGAGCCCTCACCACAATGCCATCTCATGTGTAATGCAGGTGAAGGGGCTGTCACAGGAGCTGAGAAGATTCTGGTACAGTGCACTTAAATCTTCAGAAGTATGTACTCAAAAAATATTTATTTATTTATTTATTTGTTGTAGTTGGACAGAATACCTTTATTTATTTATTTATTTATTTTTATGTGGTGCTGAGGATTGAACTCAGATCCTTGCCTGTGCTAGGTGAGCACTCTACCACTGAGCCAAAACACCAGCCCCTCAGAAAATATTTTTATGCATTTATATCTCTTTTTATACATTGGCCTGGTTCTGGTATTTTTCTATAGCATTATAAAACAGACTAAAACAACAACAAAAAAAAATGACTTTGAGTCTAAGTCCTCTTACTATGAGAGTGAGTAGAACATCTAAGATTACATTTTAAAAGCCCTGATATAGTTTAGATGTTAATGGCTTAGCATTTATGATTCTTATTTTTTTATATTCAAAGGTGATATCTTGTATTCCTTATATTCATCATGGTGCTTAGGTTAATGTATTGCCATTTACTTTGGGACTCAACAATCTGGAATTGATTCTGTTTTACTAAACAAAAGCAAGAGTGGCTCCTTAAAATATAGCAAAGACTCTATGAAAATGTTTTGATTTTTAATGGGAAGAATTGCTATTGATCATGGAGGGAATTTAAATACATGGCTCCATCTTGATGATACCCATTAATCAGAAATGGTCTGAACTGATTAGATCAAAATCATTAGAATACCATGAATAAAGAGGCAGATTAAAAAAATAGGTTTGTCTAGCACCATTTTGAGTCTCCTATTAGAGTACAAATTATAGTATTTTTTTTTTTACCAGTGAAAGGACTCAAACTCATGTAGCTGCATTTTAAGCCTCATGTATTCACCCAAGTCATATAGGTAAAAAAATGCACTATAAATTGGGCAGGATGGTCCATGCTTATAATCCAAGAAAATTGGGAAACTGAGTAGTTTCAGAAGTTTAAATTCAGCCTCAGCAACTTAGTGTGGTTTCAACCAACTTAGAAAGACAGTCTCAAAATTTGAAAAAGTGGGGAGAGGGCTTAGGAATGTGGCTCAGTGTTTAAAAATCCCTAAATATAAACTGAAATACAAAAAAGAAATACAGTTTAAAATGTTACGATTTAGTGTTAAACATCAAAAAATATATTTCATATAATTCTTTTCTCCAGTATTCAAAAATGAAAATAGTAAATTTTTATTTAGAAAACAAAAATTATATGCTTTCAAAGATGAGGTTTCTGTATTAGGCATGTATGATATTTATGACTGATATTTCTACCAAATAACTTGATAATGCTTAAAAAATTTAAGCAAAAGTTAAAGACAACTACTTAGTTTCTATATTTAAATGAGTAATGTCTTTTACTGATCCTCATATACATCAAGGTGTAATGTATAGATAATGACTTTACTATACTCTCACATTTGTCAAAGTGTTTATTATAAATGATTCATTTTTATATAAGCCATACATTTTGGACAAAATCTGTTCAATATTCACTACTGGTATGAGTTTTCAGATGTTCAATGAATTTAAAATTTGAATAAGTTTCCAAAATATTATTTAACTTTTTAGGGTTTCTGGGCACAATGAATCCTCCAAAAATTAGTAGTGTTTAAGAAACATGTGGTTATGAAATGATTTTTTCCATTTGTATTCTCTCTAACCAGTATGTATCCACAGGTGCTGAGTATTGGTGAATAAATTTTGGAGGCATTGTCACATTGTCAATTTTTACATTTCAAAACTTTGTCTCTTCTATGGTCATTGTGGTAAGGATTAAATGTTGACTCTTTCTTAGAGGAATGGTACGATGGTCTCATTTGTAAAGCTTCTCTCCAGTGTGTTTTCTCTGATGTCTAATAATATATGATATATAATTTAAAATGTTTCTACATTCTCTACACTTATGTCTTCTTTCCAGAATAAATAGCTTAGTGGTGAAAAAGAATTGATTTCTTATTAAAAGCTTTACTACTTTGTTTTCATTTGTAGGGGTTATTTTCTGTATAAATTATGTTGTTAATGAGGTTTAGTTTTTCTTTAAAAGTATTATCACTTTATTTACATTTCACATTCACCAGGGTGTCTTCTGCTGTGGTGAATAAAGTTTTATTTTTTATTAAAAGTTTTGCCACTTATTCACATTTGTAGGGCTATTCTCCAGTGTGAATTCTGTTGTGGTAAATAAGGGTTGATATTTGAGTAAAAACTTTGTTACATACTTTGCATTTGTTAGGCTTCACTCCAGTGTGAGTTCAGCTGAGGCAAATAAGGTGTGATTTTTGACTGTAAGCTTTGCCAAATTCTTTACATTTGTAGGGCTTCTCTCCAGTGTGAGTTCTTCTGTGG